TTTACCAGAATCTAATCAAAACCAACACTTTTTAATTGTTATCACACTTTAGTTTTTGAATAGTTTTTTGATTTTATTTTTTACAAAATATTATCGCATTTAATGTTGAATTTATACACAAAAACAATTTTACCTTAAGTGCAAAATGCCTTTAAATCTTATAATTTATTTTTATATTAATTAATTAATTATTTAATCGCTACACTATTATTAATCGCTAATTAATTATAGATAATTATTATTATTACACGAATTATACGATTTTTAAGTCAATGTTTTATTTCAATTCAATATTTACTAATCGATTGCAAACGCTTTGAATTGGATATCAAATGAATTTATTTTAATTGAAATAAAAATATCCTATTTTTAAACAAAAAATTACTTTATATTTTTGGTTTTATTCATTAAATCACTGCCGCTATTAGTGTACAAACAATCGTACACTATATTAACAAATCTAAATGAGGGGACAGTTAATGATATATCAGTTGTATATCTAATACTACATTAAACCGGTAAAACGACCGCAACTATACCCGGGGTATCTGTCAGTGAGTATAGTAGTGCATGTATTAGCCCATTGGGGGTATAATTGTACAAAAAAATATACACTATTTATCATTAAATTATAATTAATATCATTTAACACAACTTAAAGATGGGGTATATAAAGGTTACCCACGGGAGGGGGTGTTCTGGGGGTCGATCACTTCATTTGGCGGTCATTTTAGGGCTTAATTTTGTCGACAAAATTACAAAAAGAAAATTAATAATAATTTCCAGAAAATTACTTATATTTTACAATTTCAAAAATGATGGTAAAAACTAAACGCTAATTAAAACACAACTAAAGGCAACAACAAAAATATATAATAATAATAATAATCATTCAAATAATTGTCAATATTGTTAGGACTTCGCGCCTAAACTATCGGCGGCGTCGGTCACCGCGCGGCCAAACAGACCCTTCGCGCGACTGGCTTTACCAATATCATCGGCGCCGGACTGTTTACCACCGGCACCACCACTACCTCCGGGTCCTGACTTGAGGGCGTAGACAATTCTGGTCAACTCGCGGACCTCAGCCGCCTGTTTATCATTCAAAAACTCCAACTCTTCGATGCGGCGCTCGGTCTGTGTCCAGCGCTCTTCGACCACCGCTGCCTCGGCGGTGGCCTTACGTGACTGCCGGACGTACTCCGCGACGAGAGTGCCGGCGGCCACTGTGAAGATAATGGTTTCGCCGAGCAGTTCGGCGCCCAACTCGATGGCCGACTGTTCGTTGAGCTTCTGGACCTGCGATGGTTTGCCGAGACCTAACAGTTTCATCTTGACGTTCACCTCTAGCCAGTGGTAGAGCTGCGCCGGAGGCATACAGATGTAGTTGCGGAAGAATGGCGACGACTTCGCCCGCGTTTTGAACGAATTGGCGATCGGTTTGGCCACTTGTCTGAAGGCAAGTGTCGCCAGTTTGACGATAGGAAACGCCGCCGCGACCATCGCTCACGAGGTTTCGCTCTGGTATTGTGTTGTTAAGTGGTATATGTCTTGAGATAACACACCCGTTGGTGACTCGACTGTGCGTCCGCTCACAGACCACAAACACCTGACGTCTCTCTCGCCTATTGGCCAATCAAAACAGCTGTTTGTCTATTAGATATGAGTGGATTAGTTTCGGTGATACTTAGTTTACGGTTTTACTTACAGGTGCTGTCGATCCCTATCTCTCACGCCTACCGGTGCTCTCACTCTCGCAGTCTGTGTATGAGATGTGGTTTACTCTTGTAATCAATACTTTAATTATGGTTTTAAACACACATTTAATTAAACACTCAATTCATTAAAAGTTAAATTAAAAGTTACAACAAAATTATCGACACATTTAACTTTGTTGTCATTTACACAGTGTTTACACCCTTTGCGACCCAACTATACGTTAATTTATACATTCATAACACATTTCAAACATTAATTATAATTAATAACTAATTAAAAGTCTAATTAAACGCAAATCTTGTCCCCAATTAATAGTAATTGTGATTAAAAACAAACAGCAAATCACGTGTTGTTGTGTTTATTATGCAATGTATTGAGTTTGCATTGAAACACATGGACCAGACGTGAAGCAGCCATGTATTACCTCAAACACTCTATTAGCTAAAGCGGGTGGGGGTTAGCCTTAATAGTAGTATATATTCATATGAAAGGTGCCATTATTGTGTGGTGGCTTCATATATGGTAAATAGAATGTCATTGTGAATTACAATCAGTAACGTGTGGTTAGTATTGAAAAATAAAAGTTTTGTAACAAGGTTAATTTAATTGGTATAATTTGATTGTGTTAATTAATTACATAGGAATCCAATTACAAGAAATTAATTGAATCAATATATGTTAAAAATTTTAAGAATTAAAAATAATGTGCAAAACAATATTATATATATTTAATAGGGCAGAGCGATTGTTTAATACAATTTACATTGTATTAACGACACCCACGTTGTATACAATGCCGCCGTCGACCACAACATTAGCGCCGGTAATAAAGTGGGCGTCAGTGGAGGCCAGGAATGCGACCGCACGGGCGATGTCTAGGGGTTGACCCACTCTTCCCAATGGTATGTATTTAATCGCGAGCTTTTCGAGGGGTGTCAGAGTGTCTCTGTTCTGTGTAACACCCGGACTATTGACATCAATAATAATGATTGAGTGATATATACATACAGTGGGTGAGGTAATATTAATAATAACTTAATAGTACTTACGTAATAGTATTGACACGAATACCTTTGGGTCCCAATTCCAGGGCTAATATTTTGGTCAACATATCCAGACCCGCTTTGGCCGATGAAAAAGCAAGATTGTTTTTGGTCTAAACAAACCATTTAAGTATAATTTTAAATTATTAAGGTAAAAATAAATATGATAATAAGTATAATGTGATAAATAATTAAGATTGTTAAGTTAAATGTTAAGATAATTAAGACTGTATTTTATAGATATAACAACGCAATTTAATGATATAGCAACAAATTTGAATCATAAATATACTAATCAATATATACCGGTGCAATTGCGAGGATACTTGAGATATCAACAATAGTTCCGTTAGTCTTCTCCAGATGTGGAACCGATCGGTGAGTAATCTCTACGACAGAGCGTAGATCGGTGGCAAATAACTGATCCCAAACTGATAACAGATCCGGTTGTGTAATGTTTGTGTCAATAAGGATACCGGCGTTATTGACCAATACATCAATTTTGCCAAATGTTTTAACCGTAGAATCGACTAAATTGTTTAAATCAGATGTTTTGGTCAAATCTCCCACAACTTCTAATGGCTGTTAGAAAATGATTGTTAAATTATAAATTAATTTATTTTATATTTCATTTTTTATTAAATATACCTTTAATTTTAGTGGCGACAACTCCTGCACATCTTTGGCCACCCGTTGAACGTCCTGTGCTTTCCTTCCGGTGACCACAACATTAGCCCCTAATATTGAGAACAGTTTAACGATTCCCTCTCCGATGCCCGACGAGGAAC